ACGGTTCAGCGACAACAGCCAGACAACAAGCGACAACGCAAACTGTAACCGCTGCGACAACAACAACAACAACAACAACAATAATAATAATAACAATAACAATAATACCAACGAAAACGTCGGTTCTTCGTTACAAGATAACGAGTATCGCTCGAGTAATAATAACAGTCGCTTGATCGCGCGCAATCAACGAAGGTTGAAAGAAACGCCTGGTGGTTGCCTCGAGCACCACGGTGCCGGGTGTCTGAACGCGGACACGGCTCGTTCCAGCCGATTTCCGGCCCGGAGATCGAGGGAGAGACAACCGTTCGCCCCTGCTTCCTCCAACCTTCCTTCGAAGAGGGACTCGAGGATATCTTGGAGTCTTCGGTCTTGGAGGGATAACACGTTGCCCGTTGCTCCCTGGCTCGGCGGAGAGTGGAATACAATTGTTGTTGTGTAGCCGGGGAAGAGGGAAGCAGGTCCGTACCACCGTATTATCCGCCGGAGAGCGGGTGGCCGACCAGCTGGAGCACCGTCCCACGGCGGCGTTCGTCGGCGTCGCGCGGCGTCGGGACGACGCTACTGGCGAGCACAGGCTCGCTGGAGGAGCGCAGCCGGCTTCAGCCTGTACCGCGGCCGACGTCCCAGCTACTCATGTTCATCCCGGATACACTGAGGAGCTGCATGGTGGAACCGGATGTCTCGACTTACCTGCAGGCCCCTTCCGTAGGACAGGTGTGCCTTCGACAACCAAAAATCGAGTTATTTCTTTCTTCTTTTTTTTTTATGTTTGTTTTTTGTTTTGTTTTGTTTTTTTTTTTTTTTTTTTGCAAATATTGGAGTTACCAAGTTAAGGAGTTAACTTAACGGTAAAACAGTGCTTCGAAATTGTAAAGATTTCGAGTTTCGAGTTCGAATCCGCTTTTTCTTGGTTTTTTTGGGGGAGGGAGAAGGGCTGGTTCACGATTCGACTTAGAGCCGCTGCTTGAGGCCCGCGCTGTGCTGATGCTTTTTTGGCCCGTAAAGTTCTACGCTCCATGCTTTTACGCTTGTAAAGACTTCTAAAGGGTTATTTGGTGCGATCGTTTGGGAATTCGTGGGTGGTTTTTTGCTGGAGTGGTGTTTGCTTGGCAGTGGATGGATGGAGTTTTCGGTAGTGGTTCGAAGTTGTTTTGGGAGTTGAAAAATGAGGTTGTGCTTTTGGAATCGTCGTGTTTATCTTTTCTTCTTCTTTTTCTTCTTTTTTTCTATGGAAAATCCATGTGACGTTTCGAATATATTCTCCTTTCTGAGAAAATGATAATCTTACAATCATTTTTTTCCGTTTCGATCTGACGAAGAAGAGGGAATTGAAAAGATGAGAGAACACGTGCGACTCGCGTGCATCCATCTACGTTTTTCCGATCGCCCCCAAAGAGACGTAAACACGTCGAGTGTTTTGTTTGGAAAGTTCGCGATCCCGGCGCTTTTCGCGGAAACTCGTCGAGCCTGTGATTCATCCGTCGAATTGTGCATCTTGTGGATATACGTTTCATCAAATAGAACGGATATTTCTTCTTTCATCAAACACGGTAAAACGTGGCGAAAATCTGTCCTAGAATCTGTGAGAGCTAGAGCCCGAAAATTACGTAATCGTTTCCTCCGGTTATTCCTGAAGAGATCGAGAATCTCGTTTCTTCCAAAAACATTTTCTTTCTTTTTTCCCCCCCTCCCCTCTCCCGAAAAATAAAACAAAAATAAAACCACGACGTATATAAATAATTCTCAGTTGTTCTCACAAAACTTCAACGCAATAAAGAAAAATATTCGTTCTCAGAGGCAGAATTCGCAAACAAGAGAAACCGTTCAAAATATCATCAAAACACATTCCTCAAACATTTTCAAACCTCAAACCGATCCGAAAAGGAGAAATGAGAAGACGATTCTTAGAAAATACCGTCAAAACTCGCAATCCATGCAATCCAAAAGAAAGATAAGAAGGTAATCGTATCCTCAAACATCCTCAAACACCTTCAAACATCTTCAAACGCGACTTTTCAAAAGACGAAAAAAAAGAAAAAAAACGCGAAACGCAGTATGCGAAAGATCGAAACACTTGAGGATACCTCGATCTTCGGATACCTCTCGCAAGAAAGAGAAGAAGATAGGAAGAAGCCGCGACGCGTGACTTAATAACTTCGTCTCCACGCGTACGGATCGGCGCGCACGCCTTTCCTCGTATCTTCTCCCGTATCTTCTCTCTCTCTCTCTCTCTCTCTCTTCCCGAGTTGATACGCGTCAGCTGATTTTCAGCAATGCGGGCTTTCGTTTTCGTGGCGCGGGAACGATGCTTAATTATGTAAGGAAACGCCTATTTATATACCCGATAATCAACGGTTCGTTACGTAACGGCGGCCCACGCCGCGTCACACGCTCAAAACTGTCCACCGCCGATTTTTTTTATATTTAGATTCGCAGATCGCTTTTATGACGCTTTACGCGACGCGCCGCGCCACTCGTCAACTGCGATTACATTCACGTACGTTTCGCTCTTCGGCCTCGATCTTGATCGAACCTCTCTTCTTTGCTTTTCTTTTTCTTCTGGCCAGAGGAACGAGAGAGACACGTGAGGCAAGGGGATAATAGTGAGAGATCGTTACATTCCTCCTTTCTTCGCATTCTTCCACGAGATTGGGTATTTTGTGAAGTAAAGTAAGGGTAAAATTTTGAAAGGGTTGACTTGAGATCGAGATACTCTTAGATACTTATTAGCGTTTTTTTTTTTTTCCAGATGATGTCGAGTTCGAATTATTTTTTAAACTATATTTAAAGACTATATTTAAATACGATTGAATTACAATAATTTTAGATCGAAAGTTTAATTTATAGATTCGAAGGTATCTGTCTATGTCGAATATATGAAAAATAAAATTTCGAATTATCGTCCGTTCGTGCAGCTATCGACTATTTTCCCCTAATTGTCAAAGCGAGAGGAGAGAAGTTTCGAGAACCCTTTCGAGGCGACAATCGGAATCTCGTAGCCCACTTAGGCGGTGAAATGTCGCGTGGATATAGCCAGGAGAAGGTTCGTTGTCCGCGTGCTCGTCTCCAGCAAACTTAGAACAGTCATTAGCGCCCGGGGCCGCTGATATTTGCTCTGGTGGCGCGTTCCGATACGTCGGCCGCGTGCATCAACCCCCGCGATTCCTCGATGGGAATGGCTTGGAAGGAAACCCACGTGACGAACGCTCAGTTTCCTTCCAGTATCGCGATATTCGCTCGGGAGAAGTGTCTATGGTGGGGATAAATTAGGAGCGGTGGGGGCGATAGGTAGAGGCGATTTATTAAAATTTTTGTTCGAATTGTAATCATCGAAACGAAGGATTCGGGATTGAAAATGATTAGATTTGCATGGGATTCGTTTTATAATTATTGTTTTCGATCGAATAAATTGATTTGTCAAGTCTTGGATTGTAATAGGATTCTTCTTATGATATTGAAAATAAACACTGAGTGTTTGTAAAAAGTATTTGAGATCCATCAAATTTGAAGGATTTTATTATCTTTGAATATTTAGTGTTTATTCGTTTCATTGTTCAAAAATTCTATTATAATTTAAGACTGTAATATATTACGTAATAAATATTTCTAAATTTCTATCTTTAGTAATTATTTATTTATAACAAAATAATTACAGAAGAGTAATGAATTTATATATAATTTTGTCAATTGATTATTAATTAATTTAAAATTAGTTTAAAATCAATATAATCAAGGTATTTCTTTTTATATCGTAGTATTAAAATTGTAAACGTGGAAATTTAGGTTATACGATTGAAAAGTATCTTATGCTTTGATTTTCGACTTATATACTTGAATTATTCAATGAATGATTTGGTACTTGGTAGATTTAAAATAAAATTACGTTGAGATTATGAAGATAAGATGATCTTTCGTATTGTACATAGAGAAATCTCTTTTTCTTATCTCGAGAAATGATTTATTTGAACATGGCAAATGTTTCATGATTCATGAATGAGAATGTAAGTGGCTTTCGTGACTGGAATATATCTTTAAACGAGTGTATTGCAATTTCATCGTGATAAAGTGAAATCGTTGGTTTCTTGTCGTAAATATGGATTTTCATTGATAGTTTGTTGTGGATTATGATGGAATGAATTTTTCTGCGATAGAAAAATTTTCTTTGTTTTTATAATTTTTTTTTCTTCACTTCTTGATCACTATCATCGTGAATTTAACTTATCCAACAATCTCAAAAGCCAAAGAAGATTTTCAAATATAGTATTTAAGTCACCTATGTCTTAACCAGTTGAGGGATAAATCCTTAAGCCCACTACTAGGCAATCTAATCTTGTAACAAAACCACTTCCAAAATCCTTAACCATCTCTTTATCCCTCTCCAGTTCTAGGCACCTGTGAATCCAACTTGTCCAATAACCTCAAAAACCAAACAAAATGATCAATTGAAAGATTTTTTAAACTCACTATCAAGGAATTTAATTATTTAAAATCTTAATCATCTCTTTATTATTTTATCCTCCTTAATTATCTGTGAATCTAATTTGTACAATAATTTCAAAAGCTAAAAAAGATTTCCATTCAAAACCATTTTTAAAGTCCTTAACTATTTTTTCATTCTTTAGATATTATATGAATTTAAATTATTTAATAACTTCAAAAACCATTGAAAATTCTTATAATTTTTAAAATCATTTAGTTCTAAACTACTTGAGAGATAAACATTTAAGGATTATCTTTATTATTCACTAAGCAATTTAACAAAACTATTATAGCATTAAACAAAACTATTTTCAAAATTCTTAACTGTTTCTTAATTCCTTTCCATCTCTAAATTCCTATGAATCCAACTTTTAAACCAATAATCTTAAAAGAAAATTTTCAAATGTAATTTTTAATCAATAACCATTCCTAATATTAATTAAAATATAAACCATTTAAACAAAACTATCTTTAAAAATCTTACTTCTTCATTGCTTTCCATCCATCTTATCCAATAACTTCAAAATTCAAAGAAAATTCTCATATGTAACCTTTAAGGCCATCAATAACCATTTCTAACCAATTGAACCAACTTTTAAAGCTCCCCACATAAACAAAACAATCTTCAAAACCCTTAACCACTTCTTCATCCCTTTCCACTTCTAAGCACCTGTGAATCCAACTTGTCCAGCAACCTCAAAGGCCAAAGGAGATTCCCATCCGACAACAACCAGTTCCACTAGTCAAAGGGTTGTCCTCTTTCCGTTTTACTACCGGCTTCCAGGCAATTCGTCTTATCTCGTGCAGATATCAGCTATTCGTTGCAAGCGGCAGTTTCCAGTATCAGGAATCGCGAAAGCGAGCCAGAGTCTATGCATATAACGCGTGTTTTCTTATCTACTCTGGAAAAAGGAAGAAAATGAAAGAAAAAAAAAAAATAAAAAAAGAAAAAGACAAAGAAGAATAAAGGAGGAAATCCATGTCAGTGTCTATCTTACGTAGAAGCGAGGAGTTTGGCTATCGATCGCCACCCTCCGCTCGTCTTTTCCCATTCTTCCTCTTCTTTCTTACAAGCCACGCGGACCAGCGACACGCAGCGTGCGACGTTCGTTTCTTGCTGCGGACCTTCGACCCCTCCTTACCTCGATATTTCGAGGGAATATTGCTTTTGGGAGTGAGTCGCTCGTAGGAATGCGTTCCTTGGAAGGATGGTGGAGTTTGATAAAGTTTTGCATTAGGTTATGGAGTGTAGAGGTAGATTCTCTCAAGAATGAAGGATTTACGATGGTTTAGTATTACAAACGTGGACGTGTGTCGCTTCGATTCGTGAATTAAGACGAAGAAATAATTTCGAGGTTAGGAAGTAGTATAAGTTGAATTCAATTCTTCAAGCCAGTTTGAAATTGAAATTTTCAACATCTTTCAGCAATCTTCTCATAATAGAATTTAAATTTTTTAAATCTTTTGGATATCTAGATAGAAAAAGATCTTTGAAAGAAATAAAATGGGTTTCATTCTTCTTTCAAATAGGTTTAGGCATTTTAAATTGGAATATATGAGATCGAATTTTAAGGCTTTTGTATTGTCTTCTTAACAATTCATGGATCAATTTTAAAACATTCAAAGAGAATTTGAAGAATTTTTCGCCCGTTTTTGGTATCTCGATTCGACAGTTCGGGGATACTACGAATCTTCCTTTGGGAAGATTTAGAATGGAATTTCCACGGAATCGAGGCGGGCCGATGCGCCACTATTTTTAGCGCTTCGAAAAATCAGTTCCATTGTTTTTTCGCGGGTTTATTGACGCGGAAAGCGGCGGTGGCTAGGGCAGGAAGCTCCGCGGGGAATTGGAACGTGGCAAGAATCAATTTTACCCGGCCTTCTTCCTCGAGTTTCGCGCAATTTGCCGATCGTCCCGCGGGACGTCCCTTGTTAGGCACCATCGCCTCCTGTCGCAGTGTAAATTTTACCCTCGACGATCGAACAATGACAGTTCCCTTCGAAATTTACCATAAATCTCTCCTCTTCCCGTAACGATATAGAACGTGTTCGAATTTTCCATCAATTTCTACGACGGCGAGAATTTTTCCGAGTGAAGTGTCCAAAGTTGCTATTCATCGTCCATCGTTTTATTAATATTATCCGTTTTACAATTTCAATGAATTTTTATAAAATCTTTTGCTTGTCCATGAAAAGCTGTACAAATATCTTCTAATTCCACCGTTTAACCTCTTTGACCACATTGCACATATGTTTAGTTTCTTTAAATAAATTAAAATTAAAAAAGTAAAAGTACAGAGAAAGAAAAAAAATTAAAAACTCGAAACACTTGACAATATTCCATTTTACTCGACAATCACTACTTTGAAACTATTATGTATATATAACGATGTCTTTCGATGCTTATAGTGTCCCTCGAAGAGATTAAATTTCTCGTAACTTCATTCACATCAAACTAAGTTGAAGATAGGTTAAATGCTCTTCACTAAAATCTATAGGAAAACTATAACTCAATCGTGCGTAAAACCGAGCATCTCTCGAGATATAAGAAAAAAAAAAAATCTTTTCTTTCGATCAATCGAATCAAACGATAAAAGTACACCAATCGAATTGCACGATCGAAACGAAGGATAGAAAGGGAGAGGAATAGCGATCCACGAAGCAAGAGAGCGGGATTGGAGGGAGGGACGCGTCGCGGGAGAGGGCAGAGCGACAGAGCATGGGGAGGGGTGTGGAGCTTTCGGTGGGTGGGGAGAGGGGAAGTTGCGTCGGTTCGAGGGCAAATCTAGTAAGCTAGGACAGAGGCTATTAATAACTGTTTGGGGTGCCGTACCTGGCCGCCGCGCGGTGCCTTCGGCGCGCGTCTAGATACGCGCGTCTCGACGACCGGCGTCTCAGTGTCGTCGCGACGACCGACGTCGTACCCGTCGTTCCGGCGTCGACGTGCTCCTTCTTGCACGGTTGATTCGCGATCAAGCGTAATTCACCGACCATTCTTCGTTCCGACGCGTCTTCGTTCTCTCGCCATCGCCATTTTCGGCCATTTTCTGCCTCGTTGAAATAATTATTGTTAAGAATAAGCAGAAAACGCGTGGATAAATTTTCTAGTCGTATATACGTGGTATAAAATCGTTGTATAAAATCGATCGTTGGATCGAAAGGTTCGATATCGATAGTGGATCGAGAAGGGTACAGTGGATTGGCAGGCGACCAGAGTGGATCAGTGTCGTTCGAGCGATCGACTCGGTGAAACGATCGACCATCACGGTGGGAGGAGAAACGCGTCTCGGTGATCGGATGCAGACTGATTGGCTCCTTGGAGGAGGATCAGCTGATCGTGTGTTAGCTGGAATATAACGTGTCGATCGTTTTAGTTGTTACGAGGTGGGATCGTTCGTTCTCGAGGTGGTTGGCAACGTTTATTTTATCAAGATTTTTTTTCCAGTAAGTATTTGGGAGATTGGACGAGCGTCGGTGGCTTTCGAAACATTTGGATTTTAATGGAAAAGGATATTTTTTGGTATGTTATTTTCGAAATTTTTTTCGTTTAGATTCGATCGTGGCTTATTTTATATGAACAGAGTTGGAACGATAGTGCAATCGCGTAGTGACGTAATTGATAGTACAATCTCGAAATCGATTCTTTAAACGTGATTTTGGATATAATTAGGTTAGGTGTTAGGATTATATCGATTGTTTAATCGATTTTCTTTTCGTTTTCTTCTTTTTGAACGGATGGTTCCTTTTTTTTTTTTCTTTTTTTTAGTCTTTTTCGTTCTCTCTTTTTTATTTTCTTTTTACCGACGTTGACGTGGCCTGAGATCGCAGAATAAACGTATTCTACGTCGACTCGTCGCGATAAACAAGCGCAACCGCGCAGAATCCGCGTCGATTTATTACCGACAACTACGCACCAAAACTCGTCTTGCAAATAGAAGTTTCCCGCGACACGTGCACTCGGCAGAGCTCTCTTTCGAAACTTTCGAAACTCGTTGTATAAAAACCCAGAATTTAAATAGAAAAAAAAATATTTGTCCAAACTCGATAAATATTTAAAAAAACATATAATAATTTATCGAAATCCAGTTTCAAATCAATTTCAAATTTCTCTTCGGTAAGATAAAAATTCTCGATCTTTCAAAATTAACGATCCACCATTTTAACACAATTTTAAATTCTTCTCTTCGTTTTAATTAATCAATATCTCATTTTACGAATCTTGAAATAAAATTTCTTTAAATCAATGTTTCCAACGATTGATTTCGAAGCAATTCTTTCGACACTTAAATCTCGTTTCTCGTGGAGCAGGATCGTTCGGTTCATCAACCCTCGAGAAACCCGGGCGGATCGCGCGTCGATCTCCCCTTCGTCCTTGCCTTCCCCTGGTCTTTTCCGCGATGACGACGCGTTCAAGCGTCACTGTGCGCCTCCTTAATGCCTTTGATTTTCGTTCGTCGCCGAAAATAACGGAGTGTCGTATAGATAGACGCGAGAGAGCGCGGCCAGCCGAGATTCGGTGACAAAGCGGGCGAGCGAAAAAATCTCCATCCGTAGATTTTTCTTCGAGCGTTTGGTGCGAAAAGTTGTCCGTCGAGGATTCGATATGAATAAAAAAAAATTTATAAAAGACAAATTCTCTTCTCACGAATTGATTTATCTGTATCGATGGCACGTCGAAAGCATAAACACCCGATAAAAGATACAATTAAGCGTTTCTCTAAATTTTTCTTTTCCGTGCAAAAATGATAAAGAAAAATTTATATAGATTAAAATAAATTCTTCCACAACGTTGATTAAAATATTTCCAGAATTCGAGGCCAATAACGTCGATCAGATTTTTTTCAAAATTTCAGAATAAAGTTATTGTTATTTAGAAATACTCGAATAATAAACGTTTATTCCAATATTCGACCGCTTTTCGAGCCTACGGTTAATTACTTGATTACACGACGCTTTGAATAATAAATTACCCATCGTACTCTTTTATTCTTAACTCGGTCCGACCCGACTCGATTAAAATTTTGGCCACGATCGAATTTCTCATTCGAAACAGCCACCTTCGATCGCTTCGTCGAGGCCGCAGCTCGAAATCATTTCCCAGCCACCGACACAAAATCGTGGTCCGTTTTCCCTCGGCAGAGACCCATCCTCGAGGATCGAAGATTCGCCGGGTAGACCCACCGGAGTCTCCCCCCTCCCCCCTCCCCCGAGGAAGCCAATAAATCCTCGAGAGTACGCAGACGACGAAGAGAGAAGAGAGAAACCCTTTACCTCTCTGCTTGCTCGAGCATGCTAACGAGACGCAACCCAGGAAGAGACTTAACCTCTCCAAGATAAAAAAGAAAAAAAAGAAAAGAAGGAAAAGAAACTGAAAACACTCGTGAGAAGAATTCGAGAGGAGGCGAGGAAAGAAGAATCGGTGAAGATTTAAATCGACCGATTGTGGTCGATTCTTCTGGGCGAAACAGGGAGGGAGGGAGAAGGAGAGAGAGAGAGAGAGAGAGTGGTGCAGATGAGGCCACGATCAATCTGCGATAGGGTGGCGGAGGAGTATTACGAGCCTGACGGTTGTTACTGCGAGAATCGGTGCTTCTGACAGCCGGACGGCAGGAGGGACAGACAGACGGTAGTGTGCCACAGCAGCCGCAGTGCTTGCGAATACTCGATGGTTCGTGTCGTTTGACGCTTGTGAAACAGAGGCCAGCCTCTTCCCTTTTCACCTTCCCTTTTTTTTCTTTCTTTTTCGATCGATTCTAGATTCACGGATGGGATATATATATATATTATACAATTTATAGACGCGTTTTAAAACATTTGGCTAAGAAATATTTTCGTTTCGGTGATATTTCTCGAGATATAAAATATAAGAAGTTGGAAGTTTTTCTCAAAGAATCGAATCCTGCCTTTGATAATTGAATTTTATATTTCTCGATCATTAGCGTGTCTCTATTAGAATAATATTGAAATCATTCGATATTTTTTTTTTTTTCCCCCATACACGTCGAAGAATATGTAGAAGAATGAGAGGAGGATGAGATCGCAGTTGAACGCCATATTGTTCCGTCGACAAATATTCCGATCGGGCGAGAGAGAGTTCTCATCTCTCTCGGGGCGAGAGAATCCGGCGAAAAATTCATCGTTCACCGTGGAACGATGTTTACATCCCCTTGAAGCGTGAATCGCGTCTATACGAGAGATCGCATTTGCCTGACAAAGGGACCAATAATCGATCCCTTCCCCCTTCTCCCCCCCCCCTCCATTTTTCTCGTCGCCCCGTGAACCGGAAACGGAGATTCGGCCACGTCTCGACTCCGGAACCGTTCGAAGTCGCGATAAGAGGCCGATTTCCCGAGGATGTCCGAGGGCGAGGTTTTTCGTTTTTCTTATCTCTTTGGTCCGGGCTGGGATTCGAATAATTTGTCCATTCCGATTCATTGAAAAAAAAATTTTTTTTTTTTTTTTTTTCGTATATATTTCGTTTCGAGGTAGGTTTTTTTTTTATAGCAGTTTGTTAGGAAGACAGAAAATCTTTGATTTCATTGCATATCCTATTGCATGAAAATTAATCGAGACAATCCTTGCATGATATACGAGAAGTAATAAGTTGAGGAAGCGTTTCATTTACGAGAACGAGAGAATATTCTTTTGTGAAACTAACCTTGAGATTTTCAAATACAAATACTAATTTTTTTAATTTATTCTGTAAAGAAGTTTAAATTTTTATTACGAATCTTAAAAAATTAAGCTTTGAAAATAGCGCGCATAATAGATAGAATTCGAACGACCAATCAGCTTTCGTTTTCGTCGTGTCTTCGTTCGAACTCTTTCGATCATATTCGATCATATCAATTTCCAGGCACAATTAATTTTTAAGTAATTTAAAAAAAAAAACAAAATATTTAAAAAAATGTATAATTATAAACAAAATATTCGCTGTTTTGTTATTTTTTAATTTTGTATTAAAAGTTTCAACGAATAAAACTACGAATAAAAGTTCGAAAATGGCGCGGCTATACAGAGTTCGAACGACCAATCAGCTATTATCTTTGTCGCGTCCTCGTTCGAATTCGATTCGACGATGCTCTTTCCGAATGGAGCGCGTGCACGGTAAACATCGGTGCTGTTTGTATTCCTTTGGGACTCGTACGGGATGGGACGACGACGATTCGTGGATATCCCTCGTTCTCGACAGACGAAAACAAAGCCCGTTAAACGTGTCGCTAATCAGTTTGCGATCGTTTGTGCACGCAGGATGAGTTCCATCCATTCATTGAGGCCCTTCTACCATTCGTGAAGTCTTTCTCGTACACGTGGTTCAACCTACAAGCCGCCAAGAGGCGTTACTACAAGAAGCACGAAAAACGGATGAGTCTCGAAGAGGAACGTCAGTGTAAGGAGGAGCTTCAGGTGAGTGATTTTTTTACTTTTCGTTATTTGTTTTATCGTGGTACTGCGTTCGCGAAGTCGTGAGTTGACGCCACGCGTCATTAGATCGATATATTTTTCGATATATTTTTCAGTGAATAGAATTTTACATTTCTAATCTTATTATCTTCGAATCAATATCGAATTTTAGATTTTTCATCCTGATAATTTTCTAACGAATATCGAATTTTATATTTCTATGGATATAATCTTCGAATCGATGTCGAATTTTAGATTTCTAACCTCAATAGCCTCGTATCGAATTTTTAATTTCTATCGATAAATTTGTCAGTATTGAGATGACGTCGAATTTCTGTCTAATTTCATTTAATTTTCGGTTTTTGATATTACGTTGCTACGTAATTATTGCGCATTACTTCAATGCTTATTTTCTAATGGTATAGGCTTGTGAATTAGGCGTGGTATTGCTGGCGGTGATTCGTCATGTTTACGTTTAGAATGTTTTGATTACGTGCTTTTAGAATTCGTTATCATTTCTTTATTCTTCATTAAAATCCGTGTTCGTAATAAATAAATAAGATACTCGATCGTTCAGTGATATTTACGGTACTTTTTATCGTGGACATAGAATAAATTCTATTTAGTCATTACATTTGCACAACGAAAGCTACAAGTTCGTTAAAAGTTATTAGAAGGAACACGTGAGATGGCTCTGCTAAATCATCAAGGATTTGTTACCAACCTGACAATTTGAAACGTCAAATTAAGAGCGGATATTTAGAAGCGTTTAAACTGTCTCGTTCCCGGTTTACGATGAAAATTCGGCCGTTTAAAACGTGCCAGTTGTCGGCGAAAACGGTACACGGAGGTGCACACGCGATAACGAATCGATATAATACCGGCTGGAAATGTGATAAAAGTTCTGGGCGGGATTTTCATCGGCGAATGTCAGCGTACGTTTGCACGAAACCGTCATAGGCACGGAGGTGTGCTGCTAATTTCATGGTTAAGAATAAAAATAATGAGGTTCCGGCCTATTTCTGGCGCAGAAACGTCCTCGTGACGCGTGCTATCGCTCAGCCTCAAAGCCAGTAGCTCTCAATCGTCCTGCGTCTCGGTACTCTTTATTAATAGAACCATTTAGCGCGGGACCAGGGGCATTAACGATCCGTGTTTGTGAATCACGGAGCGTTTCGATGCTCGATCAATTTTCGATGATTTGTCAAACTTTAAAATATTGTGAACAGATTGTGAAATTAATTTTTTAACAGTTTGTATCGGGTTTATTATTAATTTTAATTTTATTTTATTTTTTTAAATTTTAATAGGACAGGGACTCTTCTAGGGATTTTTAGAGATTTAAGTTGAACTGTAAATTCATATATCGAAGTAGTTAATTTCTTTGAATTTTTACATTCCAGTTTTAGCTTTTTTTCTTTGAAACGAAGCGTCGAGATTTAGAATAACATCGAAGGATTTTTTTATTTCTTTTACGTAGATAGGTTTCCTATCTGGTAGTTAAGTTTCAAACAAAGCTCGTGTTTAACTTATCTAGATTTACGTTCCATCGAAATCACAGATCGGTTTACGACTCTTTTCTAAGTAAGTCGAGTTACTTTCGTGAAGTTAAATATGACCGTCGCCGACCGTCGATCACCTAACCTCAAAATCCAGCAACGTTCAGCTTCATTTTTTCGAGATGTACCGTGCGAAAAATGCTTAAAAGTTGGAGACAAATCATCCAATTCAACTTCTCCGAGACTTTTCAAAACGAAACTGATATCCCGATCCGTAGCTATCGTGGTGAGGTATATACCAATAAAATCCCAATAAACCGTCGTATCTATAACCTTCTCCAGATGGTCCAAAGAGAAACACATCCGGCCAATCGACCCCCGGCCCCCTTCGATCCCCTTCAACCGGAAGTTCAATTAAGAGGGAGGAAGATGAAAAAGAGAGAGAGAGAGAGAAAAAAAAAAACATGGAATAAACGGAATAAAAAGGAAAAGAGGACAAAAGAGAGAGAGAGGAAGAGAAAAAGCGGAAGAGAAGTCGGTGAACCCCGGATATCGAGCGAGGTTGCCGCGTCGGCTCGGTTCGACGAGTCATTGACATTCGAATTTTCGGCCGGACCGCAATCTTTTCCCTTCTGGTCCTTTTTTTTTTTTTCCTCTCTCTTTTTCTATTCCTCTCCCCGGTGGCGGCCTTCGCCACCAACCAAACCCCCTGCCAACCCCCTTTGGTGCACCGCTAACATCCGCCGGCTTTCTCTCGTCTCTCCACCGCAATTCGTATTCTCCCTCGCGACGCCGTTCGATCAATATTTTAATTTCGCGATGCTGCGGTATTTAGCGGGACCGAAAAGAACCGGACGGGCCGATGCTCGTGAAAGAAGCGTCGTCGTCCCACGTGGTGGCATCCACGATGTAGACGACGTGGATATCGATGGATCTGATGGAAATTTAGGGAAGATCGTCGTCCACGATTTTCTTTCTTCTTTTTTTCAATTTTTTTTCTCGTTTCACGACTCGATGATGGCCAATAAAGGATGGTAGAAAGAGAGAGAGAGAAAGAGAGCAAGTTGATCGGCGAAGGATAGTAATACTCTTTCGTGAACTTCTAAATTGCTCGTCTTGATCGCTTTTGGCCGGTGTATCGTCTCTTTATCGCTAATGTACTTCCCTCCCTCTCGATAATTTCCATCGAGTCCTTTATCCCTTTGGAACAATCTTTTATGAAAATTTTCGTAAAATGGGCGAAGAGGAGGGAGAGAAGAACTCGATAAGGACTCGAAGGATCAAATTAACTCTTAGAAAGAAGCAGAATGATCTCCTTCGATATTACTTTTCCTTTGCAACTTATCCAAAAACGGTAACTCCTTCAGATTTGGATTTTTTGCACAATTCTGTCCACGAACTATCGAGCTAATTCTTCGAGTGACGGAAACGAAGTTGTGCGCACTTTGTTGATCGGTCTGCTGCGAATTTCGTGCCGCGCTGGGGAGGGGGGAGGCGGGAAGGAGGAGGAGGAGGAGGAAGGTACGATGCGTGGAAGTTTTTAAAAAACGAAAGTGGCTCGGAGCCGTTGGCGCGCGCGCGGGTCGCGTTGAATTTTACATGAAGTACATTTAATCTGCGTCGCACGAAGCCCTGCAGGCACGGCCGAGCCCTCCTCTATTATATAGACGGGGGCTTTATGAAATTGTGACCGAGCGGAACATGCACCCCCTGTAATCGATGATTCTACTTGCTTGTCTGGTCGTTGATCTTTCAACGATTTTTTTGATAAACGATCTTTCGTTTATCGACTTGATCATCGATGAAGGAACTTTAAGTCGAACGTCGTTGAATCCGTTGTTGATTCGAATCGGAAATCGATCGGTCTCGGTTGTTGAATTGTTTTGCCCAGTTTTTAAAGTTTTAAAGAGGAAAGATTTTAGAAAACTTTTTTTCTTTTTCACGATAAATTTAAGTTAAGGAACTCTAAGAAAAATTTTCGATGGAAAGTTTTAAATGAGAAGGGATACTTTCTTTCGTGTTCTGTATTCGGTTCATTGATAAATATATTCGTTCGAAGTAAACTCTCCGATCGATGATTTCTTTTTTCGAAAAATCTTTTCATTTCTTCGATAAATATAAACGTTCAAACAAATTCGATGTACTTTCATGTTCAGTATTCTTAAACTTTTCTGCAAATCTTTCAAAAATTTTTCCATCCTTCCAACGAATCTATGTTTAGATTAATTCTTTGATGAACTTCTCCTTTAATTCGATCCTTTTCTCCAAAAACCTTTTCTTTCTTAGACTCTTTAACATTCTCAAACTTCTTTTCCAAAACATTTTGATTCTTCCAACAAATCTACATTTATAAATTAATTCTTTCTTCGTTTGATCTTTCTTTTTCACTTCTCTACATTCAAACATTCTCAAATTTCTCGATCATCTCTTTCTCCAAGAAATATCTTTTCATATACCTTTAATAAATCTCAAACTAATTCTTCTTTTCACTTCTTTACAATAAAACATCTTCTTAAATTCTTCAACATCCTGAAACTTCTGAATGATCTTTTTAAAAAAATTTTTTCATCCCTTTTCACTCCTTCAAACACCTTTAAATTCTTCAACAGCTCAATCTGTTTCTCCAAGAATCTTTTCTTCAATAAATCTAGATTCAAATTCTTCAAGAAACTTCTTCAATCAACAATTTGTTTCTCCAAGAATCTTTTCATATACCTTCAATAAATCTCAAACTAATTCTTCTTTTCACTTCTTTACAATATTTAAACATCTTTTTAAATTCTTCAACATCCTCAAACTTTTCTCTCTCCAAAAATCTTTCAAATAAATCTAACGTTCAAACAAATTCTTCAACATCCAATCACCCCCTTTTCACTCCTTCAAACACCTTTAAATTCTTCAACAGCTCAATCTGTTTCTCCAAAGAATCTTTTCATATGCTTTCAATAAATCTACATTCAAATTCCTTCCTCCAAGAAACTTCTTCAATCAACAATTTGTTTCTCCAAGAATCTTTTCATACGCCTTAAACAAATCTACATTCAAATTCTTCAATAAACTTTTCAATCAACAATCCATTTCTCTAACAAGCTTTTCATATATCTTCAATAAATCTACATTCAAACAAATTCTTCAATACTTCCTGAAAACTTCTTAATCAACCATATCCCTCTCTCCAATAATATTTGCCTTCCATAAATCTTCAAATTCAAATTTTTCAATAAATCTCTCAATCAACAATCCGTTTCTCCAAGGGATCTTTTCATACTCCCTCACAACAAATCTACATTCAAATTCCTCAATAAACTTCTCAATCAACAATCCGTTTCTCCTCCGAAAAAACCTTCCTTTTCACTTCTCACATACAATATTCAAATATTATTCTCAAATCCTTCAATTATCCTCAAAATCTTCCCCTTCTCCAAAAAAACCTCCTTTCCACCTCTCCAATCTCCAAAACCTACCAATTCAAACCAACATTCTTCAACATCCCACATCGACTCT